CTAGACCTTAATTAAGTTCCTTGCTAATCTCCTCTTCAACACATTCAAAATGTTTCACACTCTGAGGAAGCAGAATTACTGTTTTATAAGCCCTTTGTAGTAATCTATTTTTTTCTTCAGTGTGGGTTTCAGAAGTGCTTCCACATTATCTTTGTATTGCTAATAGCAATTTGCTGTTTGACATCTCCAGTGATTATATTTATCACCATATTGCAGTCTGACTTAGAGAGCTGACTGGAGATCAGGGCAAAGCAGATGTGCGCTGCACTTCAGGTTAATTTCCCCAGTCCTAAATTAGCACATGCTCTGAACACATTTATGATACATTAAATATGTCTTCACACACTTCAGCTTAGTAATCTTCATGACAGTCCTGCAAAGCAAGGCAATAATGTCACCCATTTTTACTGAGACAGAACTGAGACACAAGAAAAAAAAAAAAAAATTCAAAAAAAAAAAAAAAAAAAAGAATCCTAATCCTTGAAAGGCATTTAAGTAGGTAAGACAATAATCATATTGGAAACTTTAATATTAAAGACACATGCAAGACTATTGTGGGGAATTGGCACGTGTGTCTCAGACTCAATACACAGGGTTGTAAAATCAGGGAAGAGAAAGCATGGCTGATCAGAGTAGGAGCAAATTCTACTGTCAGCCATCAGTCACACGAAAATATTCCTAAACTGTGGGATTCAGGATGTCCTCTCTGCTTTCTGTGGGCACGTGTCAGCCAAGCTGGGAATTTATGTTTGGGCTGGACCTGGGCACACATCACCCCACTTGCCACCACAGAAATTGCCAACACCCCCTTTGCACCACGGGATAGGATAGAATGATGTTGTGATTGGGTAAATGGGAACAGGCAATTCAGAATGTCCCCATACATCAGTTTACATTTAGCTGAAGGGTGGCCTGAACACCCATGTGGATTACCAGCAGAGTTTGGTGGGACCAGAGCATTTCCCACCTCCCAGCTCTTATCATGGAGCTGCTGCATTGCAAATTCATTTTTCTTGTGGGTCTTTCCAAGTCACTCATCAATCAGAATTTTGTTCATTGAGCCCATAGGTAACAAATCCAGACCCCCTCTGACAGAATGGCCTGGGGACATCTACCTGATATCAGACCTTGGAGGAACTCCTTCCTCTCTTGGTTTTGGATCCTTTCTTCCCTGAACTCCATTCCCTTCCCTCAAATGGTCCTACTCAATTTTCAGGCTTACAGCACCAGAATCAAATATTTGTGGTTAAAACATCCAAGTGCTGTTCATGAGGATGTTTGAACTCACGTGGGGTATGTAAGTAAGATTCTCAGACAGCTCAATTCAGTTTTCATCCTTTGAAGGTTTAGTTCAATGAGTTATGTGATTCTAGGCAGGAGCAATTTACAGTAACATCACAGCTAATTTGGTCATATTGAATTTTACTGTTTAATTCAGGAATTCCATAGGAAATTTTAGAAAAATAAAGTGTAACATTTCCAGCCTGATGTTGTGATTCAAGCTTGGGAAAGTATTGCTTAGATTACTTATTTAATTCAGCTTTTTACTAAGCTACTGTTTATACTTCTGTTGGAATAATCAGAAATCACTGATGAGCTTGTCAGAGATTGTTTAGACTGGTTCAAGGTCATAAAACAGAGTCAGGTGGAGGAGTCATGGTGGGGGAATGCAGAATGAATATCATGGTGAGTTTCATGTAAGGCAAGTTAAGCTGGAGAATGCATCGATTCTGTAATAAATCTCCCTTTTAGAAAACAATGAGCACAGATCTGCCCACAGATTTCTTTATTTTCTAGACAGTAGGAAAAAATTGTGTAAAAATCTACACACATATATATGATCCAAAAATGTCTTTAAGCTATTCAGTAAATTTCCTTTATCTTATTTTCAAGCCCCTCTCTGTCACAGAGAATATCAGAGAAACATCTAGAATATTCATGTATGAAATGTCCCATAGCTCTGAGAAAACAGTGAGGAAGGAATTATTCAAAAATATCAATGTCCTTGAATACAAAGGCAATGAGGAGTAGATAATTCTCCAGTAGGACTGTGAGACCTAAAGAAACCATCATGGGATTATGGAATGGTTTGGATTGGAACATATTAAATAGTAAGACAATCAAATATTTTGATTTTTGTAGAAAATATTTTAGATATTACATCACTGAGTGTATGAATCTGTGTATAATGAATTACATTATTAATGCAGGGAAAAAAGAAAAAAATCCCCAAATATTTCAAATCTTATTCTGACATTTTAAATTGTAATCAAAGCTTATTTTCATTTGTGAAAATTCAAATATAGCTACATTTTGTTACTGTGCCATAATCATAAGATCTTCTGGAAAAGTATTCATGATCTTATGAACATATTTATTTGCAAATAATTAACTCCACTTCCTTAGGAGCTTAAGAGATATGGTTGTTTGGGTTTTCTGTTGCCAAGATCTTGTAGAAATACTCAAATTTATATTGAAATTTTAAAAGCTATATCTGATTGTAATTTATTTTTCTATATTCTCACCTTTGTCTAATTTTCTTCTTCACCTAAAGCTGTAGAAGGTCACCAATCAAAGTGACTAAGATTTTATTCTCATGTAAATAATTAGGTTTAAAATAAAAGAGTAAAATCTTCAAATTACCAAACAACTTATTTATTTCCCTTATGCTTCTAAAATTTCCAACCAAAACATGGAATTTTTGTTACTACTGATGTGTGCGTGGAGGTCTCATTCCTTCACTGGAAAATGTCTTTACACTCCTTTTGTTCAGTTGTTTTATGCACTTTACTTGGATTTGGCTTTAGCAACCCCAGAGGACGTGGGAGGTTTTGGAGCTCTGTACATGATCTATATTTTAGCTCTGAACAGATTGCCCAGGGAGGGTGTGGAATCTCCCTCCCTGGAGATATTCCAGAACTGTCTGGACACGATCCTGAGCCTGTGCTCTGGGATGACCCTGCTGGAGCAGGGGGGTGGCACCAGGTGACCCCACTGATGAGGTCACTTCCAACCTCACCTGTTCTGTGATTCTGTGAACATCAAAAATTCATTAATTAATTAATAATAACAAAAATTATACATCCCAAAGAATAGCACTAACCTTAACTCATTCTGATTTTAAACCAGTCTATATTTATCTGGTAATAATGTATTAGAGTGCTCCTGTCAAAAGTGCTGATCTCATCTCAGCTGGGCAGTGAGCAGCCTGTTAAATGATTTTCAAAAAGCAGTAAAGCCACGAGGCCTGGCTGGTAAAAGGAGAAGAAAGGGATGATGAAAGCTTTAGGGTTCAATTCTCCGTGGTCTCTGAGATATGATGCTAATTCAATATAGTACAAATTACTATTCAAATTCATTAGCATCACACTAAGCAATATGCAATCACAGCCAAGTTCACAATTAGCATTAATGATATTCTCCAAGTGGGGAGAAAAAAATCAAGGATTGAGTTTTACACTCCAGACAAGATAATACAAGGGAAATAATGCCAGGGATTAGTGTCTAAGACAGGAATTTATTTCCAATGTGTTTACAAGTCTCAGAGCTCAAGGAGCCTGAAGTTAACTCACTGATGGGACATTTCTCTCTGCAGGTGTTCCCATCCAGCTGCTCCCACTTTCACCTGATGCCTCAGTAGCTACCAAACAGGACTTGGGGCAAAGCTGGAGTTCCTCTAAATTACCTTTGCCTTGACTTATAGGCCAATTCCTCACCACATCTTTGTTAGCAGCTTTTTGGAAAATGAAATATTCAGTTCTGGGTGTCCCTTTATCTCTGCTCTGACTGCAAGGAGAGTCTCACACAATTTCTAAAAGACCAGCTAATGAAATTTAGACAGATGTAGCTGGTGAAAAATAGTTTTTTGGAGTCCACATCCATTAAAAAAATATTTATAGATTATTGAAATTCAAGAGATTGTTATTTATACTTTCAGAAATTATTATTATCTTGGTTGCTGCACCATAAAATTCACCTGTATGGCACCTGGACTGTCAGCAGCTGGATTTGCAAGGTGAAATTCTTACCAGATTTTTTGAACTTGTTCAAAATAGAATTATTCTTACACAATCAGTGGCAGAGGCTGCAATTCAGATTAGCGTTGTGCACCCTGAAACCATGGACTGGTTTATTTAGAAATCATTTTTGCATTAATTAATGTAAGATTTTAGTATGGAAGGAGAATCTTCTGAGATATAATGCTTTTTAAAATAATGCAAATCTTTCATTGCTGAAGAGAGTAAAGTCATCATAGAAATTTGAGTAACAGTTTACATGAGTCCTGTGTTTGATAAGGACACTGCTGGTAGCTTTCCTACTCTGGCATATGACCTCTCTCTCTCTTAAAAAGTCAAATGTGACTTTTTTTTTGTTATTAAAGAAAATCTAACCAATAAACAGAGTGGCATGCAACTCTCAGTGTGTGTGTGACCTTCTTCTTCACTTTTAATCATCATTAAATTAACTAGGTTATATAAGACGTGTTTTAAAAGGCTAAAAAAAACTTCTAGGTGAAGAGCAAACTCAAATGAAGAATTACAGTGGGCATCTATAACCAATTGCCAGGGAAATTATTAAAATGTGAGAGATAAAACATTCTGTTTCTGACAAATCCAAACTGATACATAATTCTAATATCATAAACCCACTATTTCATTATTTGGAAGATGTCAAACACTGTTTTATCTTTTCTTTGTGGAGGTCCCGCCCTTCCTTCTGCCTGAGAATTCATTGTTTTGGGAAAAGCTTCTTAGTCACAAGGCCCCATTTTATCTTCAGTACATCAAAATACTTGCAATTGTAAAAAAAAATTACTTATCCAAACCAAATGATTCAATCCATCTTCATGGCTTCCTGCAAAGAAGATGAACTGAGAAATCAATTTTCTGAGGAATCTTTTTCTGATCTATTCCCCCTCACCCACTTGCTCTAGAAAAATGCTCACCTGTTTAGGATGGACTGAATCACCCTCCAGGAATGTCATGTTTTATCTCAAAATGCCTTGGACCTTGACAGCAGTTTAATATTCATAGAAAATCATAGGAATGCAATGGTAAAAACTGAGATTCGTGGATACAGTTCTCTGGAGGAGAAATCAAAAGACCATTTCTCCCTGTTTCTGACCTAAGGCAGGGTCAAACCTTATCTAAATCATTCCTGACCTGGGACTGACTCTCCCATTCACAGCAGGGCAGGAGGAGACCTCATGCTGACAAAAGCAGAGTGCAGGGGTGACTCCCCGGGCTGGCTGAAGGTTTTTTCCCTGATATTCAACCTAAGGAGTATTCCTTGAACCAAATAATTGCCTGCTGAAATGCAACCAGAGTTCCAAGTACAGTGGCACTCCTTGTTATGCAGATGGAGAGAAACTTGACTGAGCACCCTCTGACCTGAACTGTGCCCTGGATTATCAGGATTACACCATGGTTCCACTATAGGACAATTTACTGAGGATTAAATAAAAACCAAAAAAGTTGGGTACAGACTTTTATCTGCATAAAATGTCTAAAGATCTACTTTTCTTATATATCAATCTAGTGTTCCTATGGAAGCATGAAAATGTAAAAGATATTTTCTGGATGTCTTCCTGCTTTTCCAATATTGAATTGGTGCTGTTATTAACACCAACACTAGAGAAACAAAAAATAGTCTCTTATTTGTGCTTGGCATTGCTGAGGCTGCATCACTAATTCTGGGTTTCTTTCAGCCCCATCACTAATTCTGGGTTCAGTTTTGGGCCCCTCACTAGAAGAAAAAATTTGAGGTGATGTAAAATGTCCAGAGAAGGGAACAGAGATGGGGGATGGTCTGGAGCTCAAGGTTGGTGAGGAGCAGCTGAGGGAGCTGGGGGAGGTTCAGCCTGGAGAAAAGGAGGCTCAAGGAAAATGGGTCAGACTCCTCTCCCAGGTAACAAGAGATAATACAAGGGGTAGAGGCCTCGAGTTACACCAGGGGAGATCAGATTGGATATTAGGTAAAATTTATTTATTGAAAACTCTGTCAAGCATCAGACCAGGCTGCCCAGGTACATGGTGGAGTCACCATCCCTGGAGGTTTTTAAAGGAAATGCAGATGTCGCACTAAGGGTCATGGTTTATGGTGGACTTGACATTTGGACTTAAGAATCTTAAAAGTCTTTTCCAACCTAAAAGGTTCTGTGATTCTGTTTCCTTAGAAATTTCTTGCCATGGACCTGTGAAGGTTTCCTGTCCAGCAGCTCACTGGAAGTTGAAATACTCTCAGAGTATACTCTATAGGTAGAGGAAGAATTATATTTTCTGGCCAAGCCTTGAAAAACTTCAAGGATGGTATTTGGTCACTGGAAAGTGTCTGGCTTAGCCACAAGGGTCTTCTGCTGGAATTCCCAAACTTCCTACATAATGGGACACATTTCCTCAGATTTCTTTGCAGATCTTCTGACTTACCTTATTTTCCTATTGAAGTTTCTTAGGGAATCCTGCCAGGAATCATCATCTGCTCTCCTAAACCCACTCCTGCCTCATTTCCTTGCCTTCCCAGCCTTCCACTCCATCAACTCAATCATCTCATCTCCACTGCTGTGGCCACATTTGCCAGCAGCTCTTCCCAGCCCAAGAAGAGCATCACCCCTGACTGGCCCCTCGGGCATTTGTAAAAATCAGCTCTGACCAATGCCATGCAGAAAGTCCCTGCACGTCCTCCCAGTGCTAATCTGCCTTTCCCTGGGATGCTGGATATGTGAAAACCCTGGTGGAATGCAGGGAGCAGTGTCTGAGACAAGGCTCTTGGAGTCCAGGCTGCTGTCTGTGTTTCACAGCTGTTTTCTAAACAAAGTCTTCGTGCTTCAAGTATTCCAGCCTCTGCTGACTGAGAGTCTCTCATCAAATTTGAGATAGACAAAATAGCTAAAATATCAAGAGAAGGATTCTTTCCTTCTGATTTCACTTCATTTTCCTTCTTATGCTTTTTTTAGAGGGAAGAAATGGAGCATTTCAGCATCACTCCTTACCCCATAGGTAGGATACTGTGAATCAGGACAGGCAATCAAGGGGTGTGAGGTCTATTTGCAAATATGAAATTTAGGTTTTTCCCCTCTTCCTTTTTGATTTTGAAGTCTATATATTCATTTTCATTTAAGTTAATGCTCTTGTTCCACTCTATTTAATTTATCTGTGGAAGAATCCATATTCATCTGGCATCTCAAATAAGAAAAGCAACAAAATTAAGATTGCAACTGGAAATTTCACACATATATACAAACTTACACGTGATATATATGCAAAGTCTGCTATATATGCACTATAATGTAATACTGGTGTGCGTCTGATCTGATTTTATTCTAGGAAAGATGGAAAAGGCTCCAATTTTTTTCCAAATCCACAGGAAATCTTGTCTCACTGCTGGAGCTCTGTTCTTCAACAACTGAAAGAATAGTAGACAATAAAATTATTTCATTAACATCACAAGGAGAAATGCACTGAGGAGAAGGATCTGTAGTCTTCATACACCTGAGGTCAGAAGTTATGGATTCATTCCTCACTAATTTCCATAATGAAAGATAAGTGGCAACAAAAACGCAGTTGTTATCACATAAATTATTTTTTTAAAAAATTAATCACGATATGCTCTAATTACTACCCTTTTATCTGTCCTTACTTGCACTTTTGCTTGAGGCTTTTGGCAGATGAAATCAAGTGAATGGAGAAGTATATTTTAGCTAACAAGCTTCCTAGCCTAAAAATTCCTCTCGAGTGCGTGATTTAAGCAAATTAGGAAAAAGAGGGAGAGAGGGAGAAGGAGAAAAAGGAAATGGTAGACGATTGCCTTGCTAATTTAATCCTTTTGGTACACAATTAGCACACATCAGGCTGGTCGATGGGAGCCTGCCCCGCAGGTCAGGATTTCGCTCTGAAATATGTGCTGGGCTCTGCTGTGCTCCGGGGAAGCTGCTCGGAGCCTGCACCTGACAGCTTGCCAGAGAAGAGCTGTCAGGAAAGTGCCACTCGGAATTTCCTCTCTCCCTGATGGCTTCTATTATCTGGTAAACAACAGCCAAAATGTGTTATTTTATAACTCCCTCTCATCGTCAGAACGCAGGGCCAGGTTGGTGCACTGGCAGGATGGATGCTGAGCAAAGCTCATTCATTTTGGGTAGCTATGGAATAAAAAAAAAGACACACCTCATGCCTGTTGTGCATCCCTGCAGCAGAGTAGAAAAATTGATGAACGACTGCTGGAAGCACATCCTCACATCTCTCAGGCTGGAGGCTGGACAGTGAAATCCTGTGTGGAATGGAAAGCAGCTGGTTGATGGGACTTGCTGCTGTGCTCGAAGTTCAACTGCTACTTAGATTTGGGGTCAGAGGAGAATGTGAGTCTTCCCTCCAGGCTAAATTGGCAGGCGGGATTGTTTGTTTGCTTTTATGTCTTCCTCTGCAGGCAACTCATTGTCAGCTTTCAGTAATCACCGGTTTTTATTTTTTTCTCCTGAATTGTCTAATTGATTAACAGAATTACGTTGTCACAGCAATTTATTCTTTAGCCCAGAGTTTGCTGCTTCTGCTGCAAGCCTAAAAATGGGAACATGCAGAAAGTCTTGTCTTTTCCCAATCTGGTGTTATATAAGATTTTCTCTTACTCTACACACCCAACTTCACTGTGATACGGTACCACAGACCCCTAATTCGCTGCATCTCAAAATGGATTACACTGCTAAAATTAGTTGAAATAAATTCTGCAATGCAGGAGCCTGAGCAGTCAGCTCTGTTCCTTTTATGGTGCCAGTGGATAGGAACAGACGTGGCACATCTGATCTATTTTAGATGTCAGATATATCACATCCCAGAAATGTCTGTTTCTTTTGGTTTATTCCTTTGATTCTGGGAAAAGAGTATAAATCTGGGTTTGTAGCTCAGAAATATGCAGTTGTTTTGAAGCAGGAAAAAAGTCCATTCTTAATTTACAAATAATTTTGCCTTTTTCTGTTGATTTGTTTTCTTTATGTGGCAAGAATAGATTCAGACGTCCAGCAGATGCTGAGTTGAAATAATCTGCAAAGCAGAGAATTCTGGAAAAATATAAAATATCCAGGTTTTCCATACCAGGCATATGAACCATCTCTAATCCCTTGTTTCTGTCCAACATATTGGTGTTTCTTCAAATACAGTACCAGGGCACTGTAGGAAAAGTTGATGGGAGAGCTTCTGATAATTTATTTCTGACATCATGAGAAAACTTGGGGCATTATTAGCAAGATCACCAGTAGCCAGACACTTTGAAAATTATATTTCTGTGCCTGAAACTGGATTTTTGGGGACCAAAGGATTTCTACATCATAAAAAAGTGATAGCAATGAGACCTTACATCACAATAACTGCAACAATGATAATAATAAAATAGGAAGGAGGAAGGAGGAAGGAGGAAGGAGGAAGGAGGAAGGAGGAAGGAGGAAGGAGGAAGAGGAAGAGGAAGAGGAAGAGGAAGAGGAAGAGGAAGAGGAAGAGGAGGAGGAAAAGGAGGAAAAGGAGGAAAAGGAGGAAAAGGAGGAAAGGAGGAAGAGGAGAAGGAGGAGAAAAAGGAGGAGGAGAAGGAGAAGAAGAAGAAGTAGAAGAAGAAGATGATGAAGAGGATGAAGAGGATGAAGGTGAAGATGATGAAGATGAAGATGAAGATGAAGATAGATGAAGATGATGAAGATGAAGATGAAGATGAAGATGAAGATGAAGATGAAGATGAAGATGAAGATGGAGATGAAGATGGAGATGAAGATGAAGAAGATTTTTGTACAGATGGATAAGGTGTCTGATGTCATGGAACACTATCAATTATTTCTGGGAGCACCTGGAAGCTAATTGTACTAGTACTTCCAAAGAAATAAATAAATTACCTCTCTAGGAGTTGATCATAATATATTGTATTTCTCACAAATCTGGAAGAAAAGATCCCACCACCAATAGAAATAACAGCAAAAGAATGTAACATAACTTTATGTAACCAAAAAAACCTTTCTGATTTCTGAGTGTGAAAGTCTAGAAGTTACTTGTCTGTGTGATTGATACAGCTGCAGAAAACTCATCTTTGTTTTTTCAGTACATTATCCTCTATATTAGTTCCTGTTCTGAAACTGTAATCCTAAAGGCATTTTCTTGGATAAAAAATTATCTTCAGTTGGAGATATTATCTGAAATTCTAGGCAAAAGATCTTAATTCAGAACAGAAATGCTCCTCAGAACAAGTGAATGCCAATATCCCCTGAGCCGATGCGAAACACGGGAAAATCTTGCAGTGCCTTTTTGATATGCTGGGCCAATCAAAGATCCCAGCAAGATAATAATGCTGGTATCAAAATTGAAGACATGGATGGATTTCACACTCTTTCTGAAAATCAGATCTCTCTAAATTGCTTTACATTATATATTAAAAACTCAGAAGCAAAACAAACTAGCAGTCCTTTGAAAGTCCTTAAAATGACCTTCACACATCCAGTAGATAGATTGCTAATAATGCCTGAAAAACATCTGAAAAATTAGTGTATTTTTGGGTGTCATAATTATCCAGAAATATACCAGATGGTGCAACTGAAATGATTGGTTTAAACTTCCCCACCTCCAAAACCATATTTTAGACACAGACTCAAATGAGAACATAAATGATGTGGGGAAAAAAAATAAAATAAAAATCCCAGAGGAAAAAAAAAATAGAAAAAATAGTCAATAAGGACTAAAGAAAATTGCATTAATTATTAAATAAATACCTAGAGGTTTGTAGCTGAGTTATTCTTTATGTTATATTGACTATACTGACCAGATCTCACACAGAAGGAGGCAACTTCACATATACACCTACATTTAGAGATATTAAAGTGGGATTTCACCTGACCATAAGGGAAATTTCCCTTCACCGCTGTATCTGGTGTATTCCAGGCTGTCCAGGAGCTGTAAACAACAGTGGATCCTTGAGGGAGCCTCTCCTTCCTGGAGCAGTGGCTGGGGCTCAGCTGGAACTCCTTTGAATGCTTCAAACAGCACCAAGTTATCTGGGAGTCTTTCACATTCCCTGGCTCTTGGAAATGCTCATAATGTCCTTTTCTGACCTCGGTCTTCTTAGATTATTTGCCTTTGTGAGAAAGGATTTTCTGTTGTCATGACACCTCATTCCTTGGGTAGATCTGCGTGTCCAAAATGTTAAATAACATGGAGCAAAAGAGACAATGCAAGGGATGTGAAAAAGAAAATTACATCATTTGTCAGGAAATATGCAATAAGATTCTGTTTTATAATATTTTATCATAATAATTATTAAATTCACATAAAGCATTATAATAGATGAGTATTTGGAATAGAAGGAAGAAGGTGAGCTCTCCAAATTCCCTCCTCATCAGTAGGAACACAGTTAGGAATAGGGTGAGAAAGGACATTCTGTAATACTGATAATACTTTATATTCCCCACTGCCTAAGGAAATGTGCATGACTCAAAATGGGGCCCTCCAAGGTATGAGTATTTCCAAGCCTGCAGCGTCTCTGAAATGAGGATGCTTTCAGGACATCTTCTTGCTGTAACAAAACTTTAACCTCAAAGGATCTTTCTGATCTTTATTTTGGGAGGAGAGTCTTCCAACTAATTTATGGTGACATTAGAGGATAACAACATGCACAGTAATGAATTCTCTTTAGCCTTTGGGCTGTAGCTTTGTTTTACTGTCTCCAGGAAAATAAAAGTGGATCCACAGAAATATTCAGGATTTGTGTTTTAATTTCCCCCAAGAGTCTTAACTGATTTGTAAAGAATGCAACTTGTAATGGTATGAGAAAAGAAAAGAAGGATGTTTTCAAGCTAAGTTCTTATAAGAATAAGAGGTAAACTCCAGCAGCAGCAGTGAAGTTCTCAAAAACTGAAGATAATTAGATTTATTACTGTTTAGGGTGAGCATTAAGAAGAAACACACAGAAAGGGTCAGTTAGTCCTGGACAGGACAAGAAGGAATGTAGAATGGCATGTGCAGGATGAGACAGATTCCCTTTCCATGTGTAAAAATCATATGGCTTGCAGAAATTTTATAGGATTTCTTAGCTAATTTATTATATATATATAAATATCTCTACATAAATGAAAGGGTTTGAAAGGCAATCAGAAATGATAAGACTTTCAGATTGCAGAGCTGACCTGCATCCCTCATGTCCCTTGTAAAGCAAGTCAAAGGTGATAAGAAAGGAATAAAGTTGCACTGTCTTAAAATCTGCTTTCTATTTTGGTTTAATAGGTTTGACTTTGACCTTTCATCAGGCATCACATGTATTCTGAACAGTGGAAGATTATAATTTGTTTGAGCAGAGCTCTTATGATTTAAAGCGATACTGGTACCAATATTTTTCCTACCATTAACTACATGATGTTACAGGATTTCCATGCAGTCATAAGCACTGGGAAGAAGGAAAAAAGGAGTGTGAAACATAACAGAACCCACCTTTCAGTATGCTACCTCAGGCCAAAATAAGAAGCTTGTCTAAGAACCTGATATCAGACAGAGATAAAAATCCTCCTATTTAACCAGTTCCTATTTCTTTTAAAAGGGATGGAATGTATTAGTGGAAATGGAATGGATTTTCCCTTTGCTTTAATAGAGTGGAACAGATTACCCCAGTCTGGAGGCCAGAGCAGGCTCCAAATCACAACAAAGTAGAGATTGACATTTTCCTTTTTCTTCCTGTTCTTTGGGAAAAGTTGGGAGTGCAATTGGGGTCTTGCCCAGCCAGGCTGTCGCTGATGTGCTGGCAGTTCATAAGGCCAGAGTTGAGGGACCAAGGTAATCTCATTGATCCACACAAACCACCCTGTGACATTTCACAAACTCCTCTCCAGCTTTCCAATTTCACTTGGATGTGCCTTCAGCTAAATGAGTTACTGTTTTAGGGGATGCTTCCAATAACCAAAATATATTTCCCTTGGTTCCCAAGCCACAGCAAAATATGGCATTATGGGTTAATGGTACCACTTCATGAGCTGAAGAGACAAAACTGGATGTCACAATGATCCATAGCACCGGGGAAAAGTTCCTTCTCTGGACTAACCCAGTGTGGAAATTTCCTTGCTGCAGGAACTGCTGACATTTGATTCTTATTTGGCAGACAAGGCAGGGAATGGAGGGCAAAACAAAGGGCAAGTGAAAAGAAGAAATAAACCACGGGAAGAGATCTGAAAGGAATGCTATGTGCTCTTTGGTGGGTTATGTGATTAAGGGTCATTCTTTCCAAACTCAGAGACCCGGGGATGAGTCTGAGTCCCTGTAACCTAATCAGTGAATTCAGTCCAGGTGGGTGAGTCAGCCAAAAACCACTTTCTCAGGAATGCCTTGAAAACTGGAGGAGTTCCTGCCTGAAAAGGATCACGGCTTAGTGTAGAACACAGAAGCAGAAACAATTGTGCAAAAATTGAATGTTTAGCAGGAGTAAAGGCAACAGAAAGGAGGGGTCAAGATGGACCAGGAAGAAAAAATGAGTGGGAAAATAGATGGAAAAGGGTTATGGGCAAACTGGGTTATGGTCTCCTGGGCAGGATGTTTGTCTGGCTGAGCCCTTCACCACAATTTACTCTGTCTTATTCCTAAATCCTGCTGCTTTCTCCTGTGCTAGTGAACTCACTGTTGTGAGCCAGCACATGAAGGCGATGGGCTGTAAGCCAGGCT